TGTAGTGCTTGTAATGGTATTTGATCTTGCTGCATTCTAATGAGATGGCCAAACCACTTGATCTGCTTTCTCTATGAATCTAGTACAAGGTGTCGTTCCAACAATTTGTCTGATAGTTTCATTATTCATTCAATCTCGGATGGTTAGGCTGGCTGCTTATCTTAGGCATCTCATCTCGCAGGTGGTGATTTTGCATATATGGGCTATAGATAGTGTCCATGTTTGGCACTGGTAGCTTAATGTTGGAATGCCTATGCTGTTTATTATATGTCTCGTTGCACTCATAGTTATGCTTGGATGTCTTAATAATGGTGACAGTTGATATATAACATTAATAATGAATTTAAAAAATTCCTTTTTTAGATAATCAAAACACAACCAAAGCAAATGAATTACCATAAAATAACAATTTACAGAAAGCTTTTCACTGCTTATAAATTCAACAACCTGCAAGAAACCTCCCGGCATTTAAAATTCATGCCAATTATAAAATTTACATTTAAAAAAAAAATAAACTGTGGAAGACAGCAAAACAGAATAATAGTTAGGATTTCAAATACATGAAACAGACATTATATGAATCTGTTTATCACATTAAGAAAAAAGAACTGAGCAGAACAAACAAAAAAGTAACTGTATATGGCAGGTTTGATAGATTAAATATTTGATGCTGTCAGATTTCACACACAAAAGTGTTTAAATTATATATATCAAAAGTCACAGATTGACAGAAAAGTATACAAATTGTCAGGCTATACTTATAGAAAAGTATTTTAAATATTAAATTACACAAAGTAATTGCTTTTATAAAAGTATGCCAGCTGTACCACAAAGACAATTTACATGTCACTCCAAGATCAAACACCAACAGCCCACAGAGTGTATCACAAACACACACAAGCACTATACAGCCAAGAAGAGTACTCTAGATCAGTTTCTAATCTGATGGTATGCAAAACAAATTTCATTAAAATAACAAAAATAAAAAAAACCCAACTTTAGAAGGCAATCTACTTCAGTAATTCTAATATGTATAAATTATAATAAGTTCTATAAAAGACCTTCTCCGTGCCTTCAGGCATATGAGTATTTGGGATAGACCTATATTTTATAAACTAATTGGTACTCTGTGTGTGACGTGGTTCCCATCATGTTGGCTGCCTTTACTTCCCAGGACTTTACCTGGTACCCAATTAAGGCTGGATCGACCTGGCAGCCAAGGTCACTTTTGAAAAAAAAGTCTGGTTCTGTTTGGATTGAAATGCATAACTTTCAGATCTGCAGGAAAGCATACAGCCAGGGTTACGCCTGGGCTATTCAACTGGCGGCCCATGGATCACTGCCAGCTGTATTGTGTTTAATGATCTTCCTATGCTGAGACTTGGGACCTCCGGCCCATGACGATCCCCATTTTCGAAACAGTGGCCCCTGAATAAATAGCTGAATAGCCCCGCAGTACACTAGGCATCGAAGCCGACCTCTGCTACGATATAAAGATGTGTGCAAGCGGGATATGAATGATACAGGTAATGAGGTGGATTCATGGGAACAAAGTGCCATGGACCGTGCTGTGTGGAGGGGGCCACAGGAAGGGAATGAGAATGAAAGAAGAAATGATTGCAGAGAGGATGAGATCTGAGAGTCTGAGAATAAACACAAATGTTGACAACAATGGTCCTGAAATCTCAAGTTATAATTGTGGAAGATTTTTCTTAACGCTGGGGGGGGGGGGGGGGGGGGGGGGGGGGGTCTTGCTGTCTTGCTAGTCACACTCACCATTGCCTGTGAGTTCCATGCCTTCTCATAGCGCAATATAACAATCGTCTGGAAAGAGGGAAAGGTGCCAATCATCACACCATGGAAGATGATGATGTTGGCTGCTGCATACTATTCTGCAGTCAACACTTGATGATGTGCTGACTGATACATACTAAACCACATTCAAACCTGGGTGATGATGATGACTGAAGCATACTACACCACAATTAAAACCTGGTGATGATGATGATGACTGAAGCATACTACACCACAATCAAAACCGGGTGTTGATGATGATGACTGAAGCATACTACACCACAATCAAAACCGGGTGTTGATGATGATGACTGAAGCATACTACACCACAATCAAAACCAGGTGATGATGATGATGACTGAAGCATACTAAACCACAATCAAAACCGGGTGATGATGATGATGACTGAAGCATACTACACCACAATCAAAACCGGGTGATGATGATGATGACTGAAGCATACTACACCACAATCAAAACCGGGTGTTGATGATGATGACTGAAGCATACTACACCACAATCAAAACCGGGTGTTAATGATGATGACTGAAGCATACTACACCACAATCAAAACCGGGTGTTGATGATGATGACTGAAGCATACTACACCACAATCAAAACTGGGTGTTGATGATGATGACTGAAGCATACTACACCACAATCAAAACTGGGTGTTGATGATGATGACTGAAGCATACTACACCACAATCAAAACCGGGTGTTGATGATGATGACTGAAGCATACTACACCACAATCAAAACTGGGTGTTGATGATGATGACTGAAGCATACTACACCACAATCAAAACTGGGTGTTAATGACGATGACTGAAGCATACTACACCACAATCAAAACCGGGTGTTGATGATGATGACTGAAGCATACTACACCACAATCAAAACCGGGTGTTGATGATGATGACTGAAGCATACTACACCACAATCAAAACCGGGTGTTGATGATGATGACTGAAGCATACTACACCACAGTTAAAATGATGATGATGGATGATACATAGAATACCACAATCACAACTTGATAATGAGGCATACTAAGCCACAATTAAAACCTGATAATAATCATGATGATGAATCATACATACTATACCAGAACATAAACGAAATTTACATACAAATCTCAATCAACACCACCAACGAACATACTATAACATACCCAAACACAAACAATATAAATATTACATATCTCAACTGGCATAGAAACACATACAGCAGACAAACAATTAGTCAAATTGAGGTCACGGTGATGTAAGTGAACAGAAAAATATGTTGAATTTCAAAGAAACAAACACACTCAAATACAGAAGCTTGAGATAAACTGCAAAAAGGAGAAAGCTTAAGACAGAATTTTGATTTTTTTTTTAAACAAAGCTGGTGGAATCATTCAGCCAGTCTAAAAAATATGACACTCTTTTGAAAACAATGCTGGACAGAAAAATTGTAAGCAGAACAAAAAACAAGCATCATTTGCTTTAAAATACAGCAAAAGTAAATGGTACAATTTTTTCGTAAGAAGTATTATCAATCAGTAATATCAGTATTAAACAAAAATATCAGTCATCAAAAGTGACTATTAATGGAAGACTAAAAAGGGATACTGTGCATAAGTCAGTAACAGTTAACTTCATCTTCCCTTTACACTGGGTTGGAATCTATTTGCAACAAAATACCTACAGTCTTAGAGAAACATGATCAACTTAGGCCTCATTTGAGCTATCAAACTGTACTGTGCTGAGTCATAAGCTGGTTATATCTTAAACTGCCATCTGGCATATGTGAAGTTTCAGTTTCTGCCTAGCCCATCAACTTGTTTCTGGAGTTGAAGTGAAGAGCTGCGTTACACAATCTCCATGACAATGGTACATGTCAGATTTTTTTTTTAAAAGTGATTTGTGAAAATAATTTGCTGCTACACAGGAATTTGCGGTGCTAATACCTCCAAAAACAGCAATTTAAAAATTTAGCAGCAAATAATTTTCAAAAATCACTTTTTTTTCTCTGACTGGGTTTAAGTTAGTTGCGTATCCTTTACAGGATGTTGCAGAACCAACCCCAGCATTTGGGGGAGGGGGGGGGGGGGGAGGGGGGGGGGGGGGGGGGGGGTTTGTGGTTGTAGTTTTTCTAGGCAAATGTTATGTTGAGTAGTTTGCCACTGCTATTCTGAACAGTTAGCTCTCTGTACCACTGTCGAAACCAATGCAAGACAAATCATCCACAGCCGGGTTCAAACCCAGCAACTGGGAATCATGAAGCGCCTAAGCCACAGACACTACAGTGAAAACCGAATGATTATATGAGATCATCCAAATGGAACTATTGAATAATGAAAATGAAGTCTTCACAGTGGAGGATTAGACTTGAAAAAAAAAAAAAAAAAATAAATATATAAATAAGAGACACAACAATCCTGTTGTCAGGAGGCACCAATGGTTTGAAATATGGACTGATTTATAATAATACAGGTAACTGCTAAGGGTGATCACTAAGAAGGCTTTCCAAATTGTCTATGACTGAAAAGATTATATAAATGACAACACTCCAATGAAAAGTTTTACACAATTAACAAAAACCAACACACTGCCTGAAATGATTACAAAGAATGAAAATATTGAAAGATGATGTACAAGGAAATAAGCAATAAATATGGGAAGAAAATTTAAGAGATCAGAAGTGAACAAAGGTATGCAGTCAGCAAATCTAGAAATGAGACATGTAATGCTACAGACTCATTACAAAGTTGATTGTAATGAGTAAAGGTTTACTTTACCTTTACTCAATACAACCAACCTCTAGTGTGCTGAGAGCTAAGCTAAACCTATTTTTTCTCTAAATATGTTTCACTGGGATTTCTTCTTCTTTTTAGCATTCAACGGATGTAAACTCCAGCAGAATGTTCTAGCTGTTCAACCAAGACTGCTGTCTTGTGTCAGAACTTGAGTTTTGTCAAAAGTTCCTTGCCTCCCAAGCAAATACACTCCAACTACTAAGGAAAAACCCTTAGTCCCTTTTCACGACATGCTGGTTGGGAGAGCACTGGCTGTGTTCTCTCCTCACCCTCCCCCCTACTGGGGCCCTAAAACCAACATAGGAATCATGAAGATATAGAAATGAGTGAAACAAGAAACATAAGCCTAGTGGAGTTAGGTAACATTCCTACAGTGGCAAACACAAAGAACTGTGCCATATATTTAGTCTGCTTTCTTATCTACATTATTATTTGGTGGCACCTGTGGCACATTCTTATTTTCTGAATTCTTCTGTGCATCTTTATCTCCATTTTGCTGTGCATCTTTGTCTCCACTTTTCTGCAAAGCATCCCTTTTATCTTGGTACTGAAAGATGCGTTTGGCCAACTGGGACCTGGTTGCCAGACTGAGAGACTTCCTCTCGACACAGCGTTCAAACAAAGCAGCAGAGCTGCTGGGCAGGCACTCTAGATGCATGTAGTAGTGTTTAAACTCTGGCTCCACGGCTCGGAAAACATGCAGCTTACCGTACCTCACAAACATCTCATATATGTCATAATTCATTAACTCTGCCTCGGCCAAAGGCTTCCGAGCCTCTTTATAATCAGAGTTATAGAAACTGCCATGCTCATATGACAGAACATCGTAATGTCCTGTCTTGCTGCTAAACTCAATTTCAGCAGGGAAGGGTTTCTTTTCATAGATGATGTTTGGTTTGTACTGCCAGAAGCCAACAGGGTAGAACACCTGCCAGCCAGGGATGGTGTTTATACGCACTCGGTTGAGTAGCTCAGCATTCAGCAACATGCCTATTGTGCACATGAATATCAATGCATCATTGTCGAGCTGATCGCTCACCTGGTGAAGAATATACAAAAATATATGCTCATTAAGAGTTTCAAAAGGAAAGAAGATAACAAAACATTTTCAACTCATGCAGTCACTTAACAATAACAATAAACAATGTCCACTTTTAAATCCACACAAACTGAACTGGCTATGTAATACAACATAACCCTTGACCTGTCAGGGGATGGAGCAGCACTGACAGAACAAATAGCACATAAAACCCACCATCTTTCACTGTCTTCTGCTTGTTGAACAAGTGTACAATAATTTAGCTCTGTCCGTCTCTTGATATTGTCATTCCAGGTTCTTCTTTAGCCCCACCCCTTTTTTTTCCCCCTTTCTTTGACTATCCCCCAATGTTCCTTGAAGTATAGTCTTCAAATCATGTCTCATCAAGTGTCCAAACCAAACTAGCTTCAGTAGTTTCTCCACTACCAAAAGTGGTGAAACATCTGCATAAAACTGGCTATGTACTCCAGAACCACTGAGCTACTCTGCACCAAACAGCCTAAAGCAAAAGGGTTTAATCCTTTCACATAAGAAACCATTAAACAGATGCTTCCGGCTGGTGCCATTTCCCTGTAAGAGACATTTTCCCAGTCACTATAGAGATATGTCTGCCAGACATCTAGCAAACAGAGGTCATTGCATCTGCAACTGTGCAAATGTTCAGTTCAGCATGATAGGGATAACTAAATGTATTAAAAATAGCATTTAGAGTGGTTTCTTTAAAAAAAAAAAAAGACTGCATTTATAGAAATTTCCATGTCATATTTTTTTCCGACTGGCTAAAACTTTTGTTTTCTGCTGAGTATGTCGATGTGGTCCTGTGGATGCTTACTGTTGGTTTGTTCTCTCCACAATTTCATGTACTTCTCCTTGATAAATGATTTGACTTCTAGTAATGAAATGTGATGGAGATTCAAACCTTAGACCTATAGGCAAGTATGCTAGATACTGCACTATCATGGGTCACATTAATAATCATGATCTAAAATTACCCCCAAAGTAAAACTGTAAACATGAAGTTTCTAAATATCTTAATGTACTTTGGAGAATTAAACAAAAAAAGACACCATAAGCTACTGAGCATTGTACTAAAGTCAAAGATTGAAGGCAAATGTAAAAGACCAAGATAATGGGTTACATAAGAAGGCAACCCAGCAGCACTGGACTGACAGCTTTCATCTCCTGTGTTTGCTGACATTTTGTGGTTTACAGCTAGGCTGCAACATATGCGCTTTTCGGCCCAACAAATGATTGCAGCAAGCCTCCATGAAGTCACCTTTAAGTCATGCTTTTTAGCACACTGCCGTATGTCTATTCTTTTTCCCCCGCAAAAAGAGGCTTTCGGAATTTGAACTACCACAAGTAGATGACCCAGAAGTACTGGTCAAGAGTAAACAACTAAGCATCACTGCGATAAACAATAACAATGCAGTGTTGTGGCGGAGAACAAATTGCTCACCGAATCAAGGAGTTTGTATTCTGGTACATAGGTTCCATTGCTGGCAAAGTTGATTGTTACAGTCTTGACTCCACCTTCATTTTTATCGTCATAATATTTGGACATGGACTTAAGCACTGTGTAGATATCATCTTCGCCAGGTTTTGGAAGTTGTTGGTAAATGTATATGATAATGAGAGCCAGACTGTCTCCTGCATCTGCCTGTATAAAATGGACGACAAAAAACAATTATTTCAAAGAGTGATTACATCACAAATACAAATAGGATCAGTAATTATTAAAAGAACACATGACAATTATATTTCAAAACAAGTTTTGTATAGTGACCTTCCAAAGAATCAAAGGCCCAGAGGTGGACAACTAAGATTTCACCATATGGAAACAACACCACTACCTAACTTCTTTAAAGGCATTGAGGACTTGAATGGAATGGCATAAAAACTGCATTGTTTGCTGAGCATTTTGTTACTAGAACATTAATACAAGTGCCCAGGAGAAAAAGGAAGCTGGACGGTACGGTATAAGCTCAATATAATTGACAGTCAAACAATCTGCATCAAACACTAAGAAGATGTAAACAGTATATTATCATGAGTTTCAGAAGGAGAAAACTAATTTTCTACAGCCCCCATGGTGGACTCCAGAAGTAGAACAGGCATGGAAGGCAAAGAGAGCCGAAGTGAAGCAGCTAAAGAAAGTACGACAGACACCCTCAAGCTCATGAGAGGAAGTGGAGATGGCGGAGAATGTGAAAAAAGATAAGGTGGAGGTTTTCAAGCGCTGTGCTGCAGAGGCAAAAGGAGCAAAGTGGAAAACTTTTGTGAATGACATGGGAGGCGATAAAACATTGGGGAAATTCTGGAAACTGCAAAGGCAGATGCAAAGAAAAGATCGGCCTATGACAGTTGAAACAATTTGTAGAGACGATGGTGTGCGTGTGACAACAGACAAGGAGAAAGGGGAGGCTTTTCTCCATAGGTTTATAGCTTAGTTACAGAAAGGAAACTATGGCAGTAGGACTGGATCTCGAGGATGCTTATAACAGAGTGAGATACGACATCTTAATGACTGCACTGAGGGAGAAGGAGGTCAATCCATGGCTGGTGAATTGGGTTGCAACTGTCCTGTATTCACGTCAGGTTGCTCTCCGACTGGGCTCATGGACCTCTCATGGCTCATGGACCTCTGAACCATGCACTTTGGCCCCAGGACTGCCACAGGGATCCTCCATTTCGCCTGTGCTCTTCAACGTGTATACGAGCAAGATTGCAAGCCTTGAAGCACCAGGAGTTGGAAGGATACTGACTTTTGCGGATGATATACTTGCATGTAGGCAGGGAGAAGAGAGGGAACAAACAGCTACAAGCGACAGTAGACAAAGTGACTGAGTGGTGTACAGAAATGAAGGCTGTCGTCCACCCGGAAAAGGCGTCTGTTCTGTGGTGTTCTCTGGACAACAGAATCGTTAAAACTAATGTCACAAGTCTCACGATAGATGGTAGTGACGTCAACAGAGAGAGCAAACTGAAGTATCTGGGAATTACATTTGACAGGAGCCTGTCATTTAAGGAACATGTGGAGAGTGTTGTGACGAGATGCCAAAAAGGACTTAGTGCACTTAAGACTATGGCTGCAATTGACACAGAGCAGAGAATGCTTTTCACACTATATCAGCACCTGATCCTGTCAGTGGTGGATTATGGCCTGGGACTGCTTACCGTCTCAAAGAGTCAGATGGACAAACTAGAGCGTATACAGAACGCGGCTATGCGGGTCATTCTGGGTTGCACCAGAGACACTCCAGTGGTGTGTATGCGATACATCCTTGGTTTGCCGACGGTTGCAGGTGATGCAGGCAAAGTCATATCTCGGGTTAGCTGCATTCACAGACCATCCTCTGCATGAAGCTCTGGGTGCAGTTAAGGGTCAGCGGCTGATAAGAGGGAGGTCATGGATGGCTCAGGCAGAAGACACAATCATACAGGTTTGCATCCTTGAGAACATTAGGCGAGGAGAGGAATGGGTCAAAGTGCCACCTGAGCAGTCAGACTTGTGTAGAGTCATAATCACTCTGAGCCGGGAATGCAGAGACTGGCCAGCAGGTGCCACAAAGGTGGAAATTCAGCAATTAATTCAAGATAATGCTCGCTCAGAGGATTTGATCGTTTACACAGACGGTTCAGTGTCAAGAGGCAAAATAAGTGCTTGGGGCTTTTTAGCAAAAGTTAATGGTCGACGTTTGGTGCAGGAGAGCCTAGCATATGATACCACAACATCCAGCTTAAGAATGGAGGTAGAGGCGGTCACTGCAGCTTTCCGCTGGCTATAGAACACAACACACACACACTTTGTAATTGTAACTGATTCAGAAAGCATGCTGAGGAAGATCAGAACAGGTATGCTTCGTGCAGAGTGGCATGCTTCGCTGCGGAGGACACGAGTGAGGAGTATTGTCTGGATTTTTTCACCGGGTCAAGCCGGTGTGTTAGGAAATGAACAGGCAGACAGACTGGCTGGCTCTGCACAACTTGGTGGAATACTGCTACATATAGGGCAGACATGGTTAGTGCCTTATGGGAGAGCGTGTACAATGCGGAGGAGCAGATGGATCACCACAGTTTGGTGAGATTGATGCAGTTGGGGGTGACGAGAGGTTCTGGCAGAAGCTCAAGGCTCAGAGGAAAGGCAAGACGGACATTTGATCAGAAAGCTACTGGCACCATTAGTATCGGAACTCTTCGCTGGCTGCTGAAGATGGGGACGGAGCGCTTATGGGAATGCCCAGAGTGCTGTGATGTCGGTTCTTGAATCAAATCAAATGAAGGAGAAAAGATAACAAAACATTTTCAACTCATGCAGTCACTTAAAAATAACAATAAACAATGTCCACTTTAAAATCCACACAAACTGAACTGGCTACGTAACACAACATAACCCTTGACCCATAAGGGGATGGAGGAATACTGACGGAAGAAGCACATAAAACCTGCCATTTTTCTCTGTCTTCTGCTTGTTGAACAAGTGTACAATAATTTAGTTCTATCCATTTCTTGATGTTGTCATTCCAGGTTTTTTCTTAAACCCAACCCCCCCCCCCACATTTTTTCGTAAAAGAGCCAGTTATGATGAACTCTAGAAGCTGGACCACCAGTGATTCAAGCAAGAAAGCTGTATTTTTCATTAGCACACAGGTGTTAATTTTTGTTTTGCTTGTTTTTGTTTTTTTTAACTGTTTCCTTTTATTTAGTCTGAAGAATTTGCAGAAAGACACAAAGATAAAGCAATGCCCGGCTAAGTCAGTAACTATGGTACTTGTAAAAACTCACTTGCAATCTGGCATAGTTCTCTAAGAAAATGCCCCAGCCATCCATATCCCGTACAGTGACTGGCAAAACAATGTTGATCCTTGCAGACTCTGTGACATAAGGCATCGGGACTATCTCCACCTGAACATATCAATACAGAGTTCATTTTATTGTAAGAAAAAAAAGATGAAATATAATAAATGAACAGCAATGGTAGTCATATAGCAGTTACAGCTATTGTGGTGTTAAATATTAGGCCTTCACACTTTCTAGGCCACAAGGTATGACTCTGTTAATCAGTTTCCTTCTTCCATGTCTTCCCTTTTCAGAGAATTTCTAGAAAATTCTGAGCCTGAGTTGATACTACAGATGTACTGGTGAGAAAAGACAATCGTGATTCTGCTAGAACTTAAAGCAGGACCGAGGAACATTTTGAATTCAAATGACCGGCATTTTAGAAAACAAAAAAAATTGTTAAATACAAAATTGATGTGGTGTGCATCCAAGAGTCATCACTGAATGTCCATCCCATATTTTCAGTCAGAGAATATGAGACCATATGATTCGAAGGCAAAGACACAAGGAAGAAGCTGTAATAACTATGTAATACTCAGTACCAAGCTGTCAAGTATCTGTGAACTTTAACAACTAAACAGAAAGTAATAATTTCAAAAGTTACCAAATCCATAATGTTTTCGTAATTTGCCATCATTAGTTACCCTAAACAAAAACATGTCTCAGTATTACTGACATAACAATGCTGACTTATCAAAGAATCATACATTATCAAACACTACAAATATTGTAATAATGGCCATCTGGTGAAAGATCAAATTTCTTCATCATCATCATGTGTCTTGGCAAAGTGTCCACAGAAAAATCAATTCTGATGATGATGTATGCCCATGCCACTATCTGAGACCATTTAGCATCATTTATCATTTCTGTCTCGTCTCCAACTGTTCTTGTGCCTCTCCAACCATGATTAAAGAATATCGTTTGCAGCCTTTTTTTAAATCAAAATATATAATGTCCTCAGTCCTTTCCAGATAATTGTTTTTGGTTTCTCAGGCTGTCCAAAAATTGTTCCAACATAAATCTCAAAAACCACAAATCTGCTGTGTCCAATCAATCTCTTCCTAAATACCCTTCATTGAGCTTTCAAGTCACATTTTATGTTATATTTAGCATTTACTGTCACTAATTCAATTGCAGACACCCCTTATTTATGTCAATCTCTCCCTTATTTATGAGTGCCTACAATACATCAGAAAAAGTTCACTATAACATTTCACTAGTCTTTCTTTTTCTAACGGTCCATGGAAGTGACTTACTACACGAGATATTTTCCCCATTTCCCTATAAATTCCAACCAAAAATCTTCTATTACCTCTCCCAGTGGCCTCACAAGCAGAACTCTTTTCTCTATAATCCTCTTGTTGTAGTTATGTTCTTCTTCTGCTTCCCTAGGTATGGAAGTGTCTTCAAGAGCAAGGTCAAGAACATACTCCATGCCTCGCTGAGGGTCAAACCGCCTGTACCCGTTGATGAGGTAGGAGTACAGGTATTTGTTGCTGTGCTTCTCGTTGAGTTTCTCCATGGAAATCTTTATTATATCTTGAACATCCAGCTTGTCAACACCTGTGAGCAAACATTATTCCTTATCATTTATGAGAACAGTATTCCACGTCATTTATGAGAACATTATTCATAGCATTTATGAGAAGAGTGTTCCACGTCATTTATGAGAACATTATTCATAGCATTTATGACAACAGTGTTCCTCATCATTTATGAGAACTTTGTTCCGTATCATTTATGAGAACAGTATTCCACGTCATTTATGAGAACATTATTCATAGCATTTATGACAACAGTATTCCTCATCATTTATGAGAACATTGTTCCGTATCATTTATGAGAACAGCATTCCACATCATTTATGAGAACATTATTCTGTATCTTTTTTGAGAACATTATTCCATATCATTTTTTAGAAAATTATTCCATATCCATTTTGAGAAAATTATTCCATATCATTTTTAAGAACATTATTCATATTATTTATGAGAACACTATTCCACATAATTTATGAGAAAAGTATTCCATATCATTTATGAGAACATTATTCCATATAATTTTTGAGAACATTATTCATATCATTTATGAGAACAGTATTCCACATAATTTATGAGAAGAGCATTAAACATCATTTAAAAGAATATTATTCCACACCATTTATACAAACATTATTCCATAGTGTTTATGTGAATAGTATTTCATATCATTCATGAAAACATTATTCTCCAATATATGAGTTGCAGGTCCTCAGTTTGGGGGAAGCAGGAATAGACCCCCGGCACCCCTAATAAGCATGTCATAAAAGCTTACTAATTAGGGGTTTCCTGTGAAGAGGAAGTGCATTTGTTTGAAAGACAAGGAACTAACAGTCTGCATACAAATAACCCAGATCTGTAAAATGGATGTGCACACAACAGTCAAGTTCTGGAAGAAGATTAAAGTTTAGTGGATGAACAACCAGAACTGTCAGCCAAAGTTTACAGCCGGCGAACGCGACGAAAGAAAAACATTACTCCATATAATTTTTGAGAACATTATTCCATATTATGTATGAGAAAACTATTTCATATAATTTATTACAACAGATCTGTCACGTAATTTTATTCTTTCAGATGAGACAACTCAATGATGCAACGATTACACTACATATCACAAATGTTTCTCAACTGCCGGTGTCCCATTGTTGGGTCCTCAATTATAATCTATCAGTGGACCAAAATAGCATCATCAGGGCAGATAGCGCAGCAGTAGCAATGAGCAGATTAGCAAAAAATGTGGGAGAACTGAAGCTCACAGTTAATCGAAAACCCTTTGTTTATAAAAACCTGTATATTCAGCACTTTTCTGTACGGCAGTGAAACTTGGTCAACTTATTTGTACCAGGAGAAACAAAAAGCTTTCCCATGTGATGTCTACAAAAGAATACTTGGCATCAGGTAGCAAGACAACAAAATAAACACAGGTATTGGAAAAAAAGCAGGCTTCAAATTATGTTTCTCAATGTTAATTCTTCTAAGGCTCAGGTGGCTAGGGGACACTTGATGGATCAGGGACCTTTAAGTCTCTAAGGAAATCCTCTATGGTGAATTACAGGTGGGTAGAAATTGTTGGGTCATCCTCTGCAATCTAACTCTTTCGCCCCGCAAAATACATTTTTTTAAACACCTGTTTTGAAACTGAAACTTTATTTTTTTTTTTAAACTTTATAATTTTCCAGAACAAGACAAAAGGAAGAGGAGAATACGCAGAAGAAATTCTGAGTCTTGGTCACTTTTATAAAATTAAATCCAGGGGATTTTCAAAAAAATCAAGGGGATTGAAACCTATGACCAGAGAGCAGACAAGCAAGCCTTCTAGCAGCTGCATCATTGTGGCCACAAAGTCACTAAATAAAATTAAAATAAAATATAATTTGTAATTTTTCAGACACAATCTGATGTCTAAATAGGGATATAATTACTAAATACAACCAGTTAGTCCCATGCCAGATACTATGATGTGTTCTTCTTCTTGGCATTCACCGGCTGTAAACTCAAGTGGAATGTTCTGGTTCTTCATCTACCTTCAGACTCGTTCTAGAATCTGAGTGTTGTGCGGGCATATCCGTTTTTACAGGTCTGACTTATTTGTATGCAGACTGTTTGTTCCTTGCCTCTCGGGCAAATGCACTCTGATTTCAGAGGAAACCCCCGCTTAGTCGACTTAAGACATTCTTGATGGAGAGGCAGTGGGTTTATTGTTTTCCCCACAATGGGGCCCCAGAACCCACACCGGAAATAGACTGTGAAGTGTTCAGCCTTCACTTATTCTAGGACAGGGCTATTCAAGTGTGCTGACTATTTCCTTTCCTCGCCACCTTTCTCCCCCAAACAATTCCCAGAAAATATTTTCCAAGTCCAGGATGTACTAACTACAAACAAATATTATACCTGTTAGTTCTCTCACATTGGTGAAGTCATCCTGGAAAAATATTTGTGTCTCTGTGAAGTAGTCCCAGCGTATCACATCAAACCTATTCTTGGGTCTGTAAGGCTCTGGGATGCCTACAAGAACAATTAAATGGACTTAACAGTCTAAGAGAAAAAATTAAAATTAAAAACAAATTACAAGTAATTTGAACAAAGACCTACGAAAGTTACACTGCCATATTCATTAACATCATCATTTGCCCCACTGAAGGCTTTTTTCCTTCTGGTGATAGGCAACAATACCGGCACCTTTGTTTTTGGGCATACAAGTTTTTTCGATGCTACAGTAACAGACACTTTGTGGTAAGTACCAGCCCCTAGTTTTGACATTTTGAGTACCGGCACCTTAGTTTCTAGAAAGGAAAAAGCCCTGGTCCAACCAATAAGCACAGGCATTCAAGCATGTTTCACTATCTCATAGGATTACCAGAATCACGGATTAGGCCAGTGCTTTTGCCTCACCCCATCCATGCGGCCAAGTCCTCCATGTATTTATCCCTTTGTCTCCCCCTTGCTCTATACAAAAATATGGGGCGAAATTTTTAGTTTATATTATACTGCCACCTCGGCTGTTGTTGGGGACTCTAAGATAACCTAATGGCTCAAGGACGTTTTCTGGGATTTGTTCTTGGGTGAGCCTCATCCAAATGGTGTCACAAAGTGTTTATCGCTCATTGTGCTGAGCTGTCCTGGGATTGAATGTCACTCACCAGTCTCATCAGATGTTCCCAAGTTTTCAAGGCCATTATAGTGCCTTCACCGTCACACTACTATTATAATTGAAGCTGTATACATATAACCAATACGTTCGAGCAATGACTTGCCATCAAGTCATGTTTCGCACCACTTCATTCAAAGTTATACAGTGATTTAGTTTGAACAATAACTTACCAATACTCCATGTTATTCAGTCACATTACCATTAACACTACATAACCACTCTGTTTGAGCAACCACAGACCAACAAGCCATGATATACTGAAACAATACCACTGTATTTCCAGCTATAAAACCATTTCTTCTGAGCTATGGCTTACCAATAGCCAATGTCATAAGCCATGTTACAATGGCACATTACTATTACACTTAAACCTATATAATCCTTCACAGCAATGGCTTGTCAAAAGCTTACTTTTTAAGCCAGCCAGGTTACAATGTTACATCACAATTACACTTAAAGCTATGTAACCATTCCTTCTGAACAATGACTTATCAATAGCCCTTGACATTATAGGCTGGTATAGTACTGCATGACTATATACTTAAAGATATATAACCATTATGTCAATCCATGAAGCCCAACTTCACTGCACCAGGTTACACCATACAGCCACAGTCCCCTTCTGTTAAAACAGCTAACTGCCTGCTGAGAGTATCGCAAAAACTCTAATGAATGCCATTCAATGACCTACCACTAAGCCACGATACACTGGCACATTACTGTTACATTTAAAGTTATATGGCAATTCTATCTTAGCAATGACATACCAACAGGCTATGTTACACTTGCATAAAGCTATAAAAACATTATGTTAGAGCAAGAACTTACATCCTACCTTACCCAGACTTCGGGTTACTTTGCAACCATTGGGGTCCAAATATAAACTTGTAGTTGAACAGGGTTTCTGGGATTTGCACCTGGGGATTCTTATCAGAACAGTGACTCTCTGGGTCATCAGGTGTTAACCACTTAGTATGCAGTCCTAGTGGGGTTTAGCTTCACTCAAGAACTTACCAATAGGCCACGTAACACTCTCCTGGCCGCCTGGAGCAAACTGACTCATGAACAGGATGTTGTCTTTCATTTCCTGAATCTGGTGACGAGTGGAGTTTAGCTCTACTTCACAAAAGTACCTGATGGTGACAATATTGTAGGGGGATTAGAAGAGGTACATTTTTAAAAATGAAATATTAATTTTAGACAGGTAAACAAAAAGAAATAGTAAGTACAATGGAAGATACTTCTGCAGGGTGAGTTGCTGTAAAAGCATGAAATGCTGAGTTGGGTTAAAACTGACAACTTAATACTCTTGAATTTACATAAGCACCCTGTCACCATCTTCAGTAGCCCAGCAGCCAGCGCAGAGTTCCAGTTCTGGTGGTACTCGTGGCAGTCTGAGAATGTGTATCTGTCTTGTCTTTTTCTTGTGTGGTGTGTCAGCCAGATCTTCCAGCCATTCCCCACAGCTCTACTCTCTTAAGAACATAATGATTTATTTGTGCTCACAAAGGGTCTCTCACTTGCTCACAAAGGGCCTTGATAACAAAGAGCTTGTCGGGCATACATTTACCACCAAGCAATGCAGAACCAGCCATTTTGTCTTGATGTATGCCCTGGAGACAAGTAGCCAAAGGAAACTAACTGCCTGGAACCTCTGTAGTGATGCTTACCACTCTGCATGGAGCATGCTTGTCTCCACCTTTCTCAGCATGCTTTGTGAGTGAGTCTGTTACAATCACAAGATATGTGTGTAACTGGTTCTCAAGCCAGCTGAAGGCTGCAAAACTGCCCTCACCTCTATTCTCAAACTAGATATACAAGTTTTTGTTGCACTAAGTGTTGTCTATTAGCTTTTGCTATATTAACAAGTGTCACAGTAATAAAATAAAGTCTAATGAATGATGCAATGGGAAATGTTATGCAAAAGGAGCAAAAGCAATGATATGGATGATCTCTGTATGGTGCAAAAAGTAAAGATAGTAATGTGGAAAATGTTGTTTTGAGTGTGAAATTCTTGGCTTTCAAATAATGTAGGTACAGTGGGATATGTGTTGCAAGTTCCCTTCCTCGTTGTCTTTTTTTTTCCCCAGACGATTTCCACAAAGTTTATGAAAAAATAGTAGTCATTTGATGATAGTGAACACACCTCAGATTGCACTAATTTGGAAGGAAAAAAGCGTGTTATTTGGTGACTGAGCCTAGAACTCTTGATGAGCAATTTTTCTAAGCAACACAACAGTGGACACAGTACATGAAAGGTAGCCTGGACATAAATATGCGAAGGGTGTAACTGGTAAAGGGTTAAGAATATTTCTGAAAGGTTGTATTGAGTATTTCTGCAAAGAACAAGATACGTAATAAAATCCTTAGGATGGCAAATGAGCATCTAGCCACTAAGCTACCGTGGCTTACTGAACTATAGGTGTTAATAATTATTTATGCATTTATTTATGTGTCTTTTCCCCAACAGAAACAATGGTTGTTTTATTGTACTTTATATTTAGATAGTGTGGCTCTGTGGCTTAAACATTAGTGAAATCATTGCCCAATGCAATCTTCAAAATACCAAAGTTCGGTGTCTATTTCAAGTGGTTTGGTAAAAGACTGTTCTCATGGCTTTCAGTGTGCTAGAGGAGAATCACACTGTGGAAAAGATTAGGACTTCACTACACAATATTACCATCTCCCTGTGTTAGTTCCTGGGCCCTACTGTTGGGAAATCAGGAACAGACTTACTGTCTCCCCAAAAAGCATGTCGCAAGAGTCGACTAACTGGGAGCTTCCTTCAAAGTTAGAGTGCATCTGCCTGAGAGGCAAGGAACCAACATTTTGCACACAAATGAGGCAGATCTGTAAAATGGATGTGCATGCAACACTCAGGTTCTGAAACAAGACTTAAGTCCAAAGATAGACAAATACCAAAACTTTCTGCCAGAGTTTACAGCTGGTGAATATGAAGAAAACGAATATTACCACCTTAAAGATGGCAGTCAATGCTCTACAACAAACCTCCATCCCACCCCCTCCCCAATTTTTTTTTTAATATTCAGACAGCATAAGTTCACAAAATCTCCAAGGAGAATAGAAGTCAATTTAACAAACCTGTGTAGCTTGTAATGGCTAATATCATCTGGCATGGGAAACACAGACAAGGACTTGTTGAACGCAGACTGCACCTTCAGGGCTCCAATATCCTTGTCAAAATTAAAGTCTTTCACCGGATATGCTGAGTAGACTTTGTTCTGAAAAAATTAAAAGGTAATATAAAGATCCCTTTTCACGCCTTTAGGCACATCAGGCATATGGGAAGAGGACCCATACTTTTACAGACCAATCGGCACTAGGTGGGTAATGGGGTCAGCATTATGCTGGCCATCTTTACTTCCCCAGTACATATATCCAGGTCCTCTCCCTGAAAAGTGAGCCCCGTCCACCTTTTGTTCTGAAAATTAGTCTAAAACAGTTTAGCTGTTAAGGATGCAGAACAACTCCAGCATTTGGCTGCTATGGTTTAACAAGGTAATTTTACGGTCAGAATTTTGCCATTGCCTGCTGATTGGTAGGCACTCTGCACCATTGTCGAAATTAATGAAAAACCTGCAATGCCTTGAAAAGATCCACTCTTGTATCCCTGATAGATGTTATATACACAGTGTCCTAGTTTTTGTCATTAATTACTTCAAATCCAGATAGCTATAATTAAACCTCTTGCCAACTAGGCAACATGCAACCAAGAAAGTTAAAAAATATTTAACTATAGACTATGACTATGAATGAGACGGTTTTCTTCATTCATAAACCAACTTTTTAACCACTTATTAGAACAATGTACGAATGCAGGGAAGGATTAGGGGGCAGGGTAGGACAACCAAGTACTTCAAAATCTCAGCAGCTTCTACTCTTTAGTTACTAAACACATAAGTGTCTTAAAAAAAGAAACCAGATACCATCACTCTAAAATACCATCGGATAAACTCTACATCAACTCAAACTACACTGTATTATCCCCACCTCTAGTATAAGAAACACTATCCCTCCCCTTCTCCTTTCTCAATACACAGCACCTACCTTTCCCCTCAAATCTGTTCACAACTTCAAATGGTGTCAGGTGATATATGGCAAGATAATATTAAGTGGTATATATATTCAGAAATGACGGGTCAGCAGGAATCTAAGGTTAATGTCTTTGTACTTGACCTGGAGCAAAAACTGGTGATCATGACCCACCAATCATCTTTTATCAGATACTAATTAATGAACCTGATTAAAATATTTTTTCATCTCCAGATGTGTAAGCTGTGATATGCTGACAATATTGTTTTGACTGCGGAAAATGAAACATGAATGCAAGAAATGACTGCAACAATAATTGTAACAGAAAGTCAGAACAAGGCTCTTAGGTTGAACAGCAGAATAACAGAAGTAAAGGTAACTACAAACAAAATGGACCCTGCAAAATGCAATATCAAAGTAAGTGGGACAATCCTCAAGCAAGATTATAAATACTTGGGTACCCTGACAACAGCAGATGGAAGATATATTAAAGAAGTTAAATGTAGAATAGCTGAAGCAAAGGCAGCATTTCACAAAATAGAGAATACTCTATGCAATGTTTCTTTGTCAAGTGAGGTGAGAAAGAGGATTCTGAAGAGCTATATACATCCTATATGAGGAAGTGAATCATGGACAGCTGGCCAATTAGTGAAAAATTATGTAGAAGTGGCAGTGATGTGGTTTTATAGACATGATGAGTATCCCTTGGACTGATAAAAAGAGCAATGCAGATGTCTTAAAAGAAAGTGACTCGCAAAAAAGAACTGACTGCCCACAACAGAAAGAGACAATCTATGTTGTTTGGTCAAGTCATGAGAAAGAGAAAAGTCAAGTGCATTATGACAGTGGGAACATTGGAAAGAAAAAGAGGCACTGGAAAGAGGCACCGGAGACACACAGAGATGTTGGACTGATTATCATCATGGCATGGGAGATCATCTGTGTCAGAACTGATTGAAAGTAGATGAGACAGAATGTCGTGGAATACCAACTCATGTCAAGAATGTATTATAAGAAGAAAAAGTGTAAGCTCTTTGTCTCCCTGTGTTTTTTTCGTCTACTGTTTTCCAACATAAGGCTAAGTTGTTTTTTTCATTTTTTATTGTTATTTTATGTCATTTTCTTATCAGATCCATAACCACCAGCAAGGTGCAATACCTTCTTTTTGTTCCCTCTTCTATGATGTCGTGAAAGAGGACAAATTAGACATGTTTTCTTTGAAATCAGAGTGCATCTGCCTGAGAGGCAATGAACCAACAGTCTACAGTCATTCAACCAACAGTCTTACAAATAAGCAAGATCTGTAAAACAGATGTGCAAGCAAAACTCAAGCTCTGGAAGGAGATCAAAGTCCAGAAGTGGACAAACAACCAGAACTTTCCACTGGAGTTTACGGTCAGTGAAGGGTATGAAGAAGAACACATCTACACAGAAGAGATGCAAACACAAAGATTTCAGTCTGCAGATTGTCAAGTTTGTCATGGTATTTCTGTTACCCTTAGTATACACGCTACAAATCTTTTGAAGAGGACAGTGACCATCATCATCATTATCAATTTCCACATCTGCCATTAAATGTCACAGGGAGGAAAAGTTCATGATCCACTGCTCGATGGGTAGCATTAGCTATTGTCAAGCCACAAAGATATAGAATGTCTGAAATGTCATCAACCCATCTTCTTCTTTTGCTTACACGTCAGATTTTCCTAGCTGCAGCTCCTGTGTTAGTAGTTGTGACTGCATTCTAACCAGATGACCGAATCATTTGATTTTCTGCTTCTCAATTTCTTCTCACATATTTTGTCGGATAGTAATAATTTTTCAGCACAACTGGAATGTCTTTGTATTGGAACCCACAGTGGCATAGGAATAAAGAAAGGCCAAAAAACACATGGAGAATGGAGTTAGAAAGATGGGGAGGACATTGTGATAGCGAAGGATAGAACAACTTGGCGGGAGTTGGTTGAGGGCCTATGCTCCATTGGGGGCTAGAAAGGCAAAAGACTAATTTTTCATTTGATTTCCATTGGTTTAGCTGGCAGATTTCCTCAAATATTGCATTCCAACGGTGTTTATTTAAAGTAGGTTAGCCTTGATGGTGATGCTCAACCCAACAATTCTTGACCTCTTACCCTAGTATGAGGTTATATTTTAAACCCAACAAAATCTACATCAGCTTGGCTCATGTTATTCTGACATTAACTCTTTCAGGCCCATGAATTTTGACAGACTTGGCCCACATTAATTTCCCTTTACAAAAATGGCAGAGGGGTGGGTGTACAAGAAAGGCTGTAGAGATTGTAATATACTTTTAATCCCTATAAAAGTATATGTTTTTTAAAAGAGAAATGAATGTACATTTTGAATCTGATGATAAGTGTTTGTTTGATTTTGTTATAGTTAGTGGAAAAGAAGAATTCAGCAGGTGTTAATTTCACAAGGACAACATTTCACACAAAAAATTCTTCACTTATCATGGTATTGCAGCCACAAGAGTAGTAAATATCCAAATTTGAGAACAAAACTTTAAAGTTTGTTCAATTTCCTAACATATTCTAAAGTTATGATAACTTTCTGGGTTAGTTTATCACTCAGGGGCTCTTAGTTCTCCCAGAGTGCTGAGCAAAATTTCAGAGAAAAAATGGCAGAAAAATGAGCCATAACACACACACACTATTTACTATTCACAGTTGTACAGATATTTACAGACTGTAGCTGCGATGATTTCAATGTAGCTTAGCCATAGTATAGTACTATCTCTTTGTTTGGAGCACTTTCCTTCTCTTACACCATAAATACGGTAGTATGGGACATTGTCTGTGTAATAAACTCATCAGAATGGCTAGATTCCGAACAGCTGATCGCTCAGCTTCACTGGTGAAAATTCACCGTCCGAATCACTTTCCGAAAAATCTAAATTTTTATTATCATTATCGCAATTAAAAACATCTGACTGAAACAATTTCAGAGCTTCGGCCACAGAAAGACGCATTCTGCGACCTGTTCTTGTGGTTAGAACATTGGTATTCATGGCACTCAAAAACGAACTTAGAAAATGAAATAAAAAAATTTCACTGTTTTTTTCTCTCAAATTATCCACGTGTGGTTTAGTCCGGGAAATGAAACTAAAAGGATTTCAGCAGAGTGACTTTCCCTGAATAGTTTCATCGTACCTCCAAACATTAGAAACTAGTACGAACGTGCGTGCGAAGCTAAATGTAAGGGACACACGATTGACGATGACACTGTTGTTTGGGCAGAACGGAACTTCTCAAACTACGCTCACACCGTTGTTTGGGCCTTAAAGAGTTAAGTTAAATATTATGTAAAATTTAATCTAACAGTATATCATAAACTATATTTTGTATGAAAAAGTCAGTACTTACAGCGGCAGTACTCTGGCACTCAAGGTCTGTAACATGCAGCAGACACTTGCCAAAGTTTAAACTCTGATCCGAGTGATGGCAGTTATCAGAACACCACTTCATACTGGCATTGACTTGAGACAGGATTGACTGCAGCATAAATGGCACAATATTTAAATTCAGATAGTTAATATAATAAAATAAAACAAATAAAATGTAACTGCTGAAAAGCCATAATTTATCAATTAAAACTGAAGCAGCTGTGAAGTTGTTTCACAAGCTGCCTATTTATCAATACGCCCCCCCCCCCCCCACCACCCCTCATTTTTGTCTAGATGTTGCATCATCATCATAAGCCATACTGATAAACACAGGCTGTCATGTTTTGCAATCCCACATGATCAGAATCAAGTATCTGGTCAGTGTTCTTGTTCCATGCTGCATATAATGATTTATTTTTATATTCTGATCTGACATTGTAGTCTTTCCTTAGTATTTGAATAAGAAATAGTATATCCAAATGTAATTGTCACAAACTGTCATTACTGCCATAGTTACCACTTTTTAAGGCAGGGGGAGGGTTTTGGGGTGGGGTCCTTGAGCTAGAAAAGGTAATAGTAAATGATAAAAGAAATGTAATTTGCCATGAATGCTCATTTACACTTGTCTGGTATTAAAATAACTTCTGATTTTAAAAGTTACTATGCAGAGTTGGCATTAAGTTTGTTAAAAAAACCAAGCAATTAAGTTTGTTGAATTATCAAGCAATTAAGTTTGCTGAACAACCAAGCAATTAAGTTTGCTGAACAACCAAGCAATTAAGTTTTCTGAACAACCAGGCAATTAAGTTTGCTGAATAACCAAGCAATTCAGTCTGCTGAATAACCAAGCAATTAGGTCTGCTGAATAACCAAGCAATTAGGTTTCTTGACTAACAAAGCAATTAGGTCACAATCACAACCATTAAGTGTCAAGTAGACAATTGGCTTTTCGCATCCTTCTCAACAGTTTGCTCCTCTCAAACAGCATGGGTGCTGGCACACTTTCCATGCTGTGGCAAAGGGCTGTCAACAATGTTCTCTTATTTTCTACTAACTTTGTTTCCATAAATCTTCTCAAGAGTAATACATAAACATATAGTGATTTCCTATCTCTATCTTCTTTTGTCGGCTCTGTGGCTAAGTCAATACGAACGCTTCGTAATGCCGGGATGCCGGGTTCGATCCCAGCTGCGGGCCCAAATCTTCCACTAAAATTTTACGAATGGTCTCTTTATTAACATCAAATTCATCTGCCATCATCCTCACAGTCAAACAAAGATCTTCTTGTATCCATTCTCTGACTTTTTTTTGCAATGAGTTCCTCATTATGAACAGAAACTAGGCATCTAGGCCTAGTTGCATTAATAATCATTTCTACACCAATTCTGAATGTGAATACCAGCTGAAAATCTGTGCTGAAATAAACAATTATCCCCATAAACTTGTCGCATCGATTCAACTGTCTCAATGGCGCTTTTTCTGAGTGTTAAACAGAATTTAATGTTAGCTTTCTGCTCCATGCTGATTTCTTAACAATGCCCATCTAACTTGGACAATAAAATGGTGGCTTGTTAGTTGTTTGCTTATCAGTCGCTGATGCAAAGTTGCCAGATCATAAACAAATGTTGCCTCTTTGGATTCCATTCTTTGCTTCATATATTACATTTTTGTCTTGGCCATAATAAAATCAGTCTCAATATTTAATTGTATTATTACTTAAAGTGTTAAGAATTGATATCACAGAACTCGGGACATTGCCAGGGGTGCTTCATCCCCATTTTCAACAGCCAGCAGAGTTCAAGTATCCAGGGTACCAGCATTAGTTTGATTATATGTCAGTCTTGTCTTCCTCTGAGTGCAGAGTGTCAACCAGATCTCCTAGTCATTCCTTGCTGCACTATTCTCTCCAGATCATAATTATCTATTTGTACTTCTGCTTTGTTTAACTTCTGCTTTGTGTTCAAGTGCTCCTAAGGGGAACCACATCTAGTTAGTCATCAAACAAATAAAATATCAAGAAAAAATACTATTACCCAGCATGATCGGTAAACTCTAGATGCCAATCATCAAACACACAGAAAACAAACCTGGGAAATTATCACTCCACCATCTAAGACACAGTATGTTTTCCCGCCTTCTACTCCTTTTGGTGCTCCTAAGTGGACATGTCTGCTGACACTGAGAAGACTGACCATATCAAAAACATTCTCTGCTCTCACATAGCCTTTATCAGAGAGGAACATGTAGTAGTCAAAGTCATGCCCGTACTTCTTTATCACATATTTCAAGACATTGATTGGCATGAGATGGTTGTAGCCATCATCAAAGTTCACTATGATCATCCCTGGCGGAATTACTGGAGCTTTCTGGTCTATAAAGAAAATCACTTTTGTAACATAATGGCTCAGAGTTTTGTTGACAGCTATGGCATGGGTGTTGAGAGAATCTTTTGATGAGAGAATGGCCACAAAGAGTTTCTGTCGTATGCCTAGCTCTGTAGCAGCAAACTTTGGCCTGTAGAATTTTGAGCTTGCTTTTGTATCTAGTTTATAGGCAGACTGATCTATATTCTCAATATCAAGTTGTCGTGGTTCATACATTTCATCCACGACATCAACAGATTTTGTGTCTCTGAGTTTGATCATTTTCTGGGGGTCCTGTTTGGCAATGTAGGTCTCGCAGCTGTCTTCGCTGAATGGTGCGTACATCATACTCAGCGTCATTCCTAGACAAAGGCCGACTAAGGCCGGCACAAAGGATTTGGACACACACTTGATGTCCTTACATCGTGCAAGGATACGCTGTATTTTCCACAACCTCATTGTTTCACATTCATCCAACCATAATCAGAAACCTGTAGAAATACAAAGAAAACTATTTGAAATGTACAGTGAAGTACTTAACAGGACAAGAAGAAAACTGTTTTCATTAAGAAAAAATTTGTTTTTTTAAGCAATTCACTATAAAGACAAGTGAAAGAAACAATATGAAAACAGAAATCATACATGTCTGTTGTTAAAACTGATAACAAACAGAAAACATATTCTCACATATATATATATATATATATATATATATATATATATATATATATATATATATATATATATATATATATATATATATATATATATATATATATATATATATATATATATATATATATATATATATATATATATATATATATATATACTGCTGACATTCAATAATTCTAGTAGTTTATTTGCTTGTTTATGCTTCCCTGTCATTTGCATTTTTTTTAAAGCAATATTTTATACATTTTAATGTCTAGTCATTTCTAATATCGTCTTGACTTCTGTGGCACTGTTTGTAACCACGATCTTTACACACACACATATGTAATTCCTAGCTTCTTCTTCTTCTTCGCATTCACCGGCTGTAAACTTTAGAGAAAAGTTCCAGTTGTTCGTCCACTTCTGGACCCTAGTCCTGTTCCAGAACCTGAGTGTTGTGTATACATCTGTTTCACAGGTCTGACTCATTTGCATGCACACTATTGGTTCCTTGCCTCTCAGGCATATGTACTCCTACTTTGAAGTAAGCTCAAAATTAGACGACTCTTACGACATGCTTTTGGCAGGCAGTGGGTCTATTCTTGTTTTCCCCCACAATAGGGCCACACAGGGATAATAATTCCTGGGTAAAATATACTTTTTTTAATAGAGACCTAAATTTAAATGTGTGTATAGGTTGCCAGTTACAACATAACTTGGTTTGAACAGGATATAATTATTGGCCTATCCTGCGAATAACCGTCCCAAATTATCGAGGCCGAAAATATACTCTAACAGGGCCTCAGTCACATGTAAATTGCAGACATCTTTTCGGGACTATACTGCCATCGCCGAGAGTATCCCCCGCATCTCCTGCAGCTTTGCTCTTGAGTCCTAGCCATCTAGTTTAGCCCCAATCCACGCCGCTCACGCAGCCTGGGGGACTCGAGGCAGTGGCGGTAGTCGCCGGAAAATCGCAAATTAAGTCGCTGGAAGTGCGGAATTGACACCTGACTGAGGCTCGTAAGGATATTTTGCGGCCGCCATCTTTAGTGCCCGTTATTCCGAGGATAGCCCAAATTCTTGACATATTTGATTTGAAATGATAAATAAATTCACTGTTAAATCTTTGAGTCCTATGGGGTTTAGCATCAGAGGCCCAAGGGATAGTTGACAGTCAAGAAAGACTTAACATCGGCGCATCTTTTTAAATTAAACTAGTTAGTAAATCGTCTAAAAAACTTACAAAGTAAATTACTATATGTATTTTTGTATGTTCAAGTTAAATAAAACATTTCAAAAAGTGTAACTGTAAGTACATTTTTATTGGCTTCCTTTTTTTTTTTTTTTTAGCCTTTACTTGTTTTACTTAAAATTTTTCAGACAAAACTAAAACAAAGTAAGACATAGTATTAACATTTCATAAAGAGTGCCCAGAAGCAAAAAAGGGGTTAACTATATCATAAATATCATGTAACACTTATAAAAGGATATGAACTAATTAAATTCCCGTACCATAACACTTATTAAATATTAACTTTAAAAACTTTTTAGTGATAACCGATACCCCACCTTCTTCCGTTGTCAGTTTTTACAGGGCTGCCAATGAAATTTGTATCAAAACCCAAGCTAGGCTGACCTAGAGCCCCAAGGAATACATAAGCAAAGAACAAAAAAACAAAAACCTTGGAATTATAAAACGTACAATTTTATAGTTACCTAACTAAACATATACCCACTTTTATATAAGGAGATATTTTTGAAAAAAAAGATTGCAAAATCTGAACCCATGTCGTCATATAAAAACCCAGATCTTGGAGGAAAACCCAAGTATTGGCAGCCCTGCTCCAGAACCACTTGTGCCAGGTATTCTATATACCCCGGTTGTATTTATCATTCCTTGTGAGTTCTGTGGCTCCATACTGGAGAACAAAGAATAAACCCCCTGCTCTAACAAGCATGTCGTAGGGGAGGGGGAGACTAATTAGGGTATTTTCTGTAAAATATATTTGTAGTGTAAAGCAGGGGCGTTGACGCACACAAAAGCATTGCAAAGGTGGTGGTGGGTAAGGGGTGACCTTGATATGAAGTGTTAGTAATCGTGTATTTTAAGTTACAATATTTAAAAAAAAAAATTTTAATCGTCACTTTCAACCAGCATCCTCAAAGGGAAGGTTTTAGTTATAATTGTGACTAGGTTGTGTGCGCCATGTAAATTGATTTTAACAAAGCTCGCCACCAAGAGCCCTGAAAATGACTCTTGCAGTGTTGATGCGATCAATGGAGACAGACCAAAATACAGTCCCGACCGGCGACGAAATCGTAAACCGGCCAGCCAGTTGGCGACCCGGTCGCCGAAGATTGCCCTCGTTCCTTCCCATCCATGTGTGTATTCGGGGACCCATGGGGGGGGGGGGGGGCAGACCCACTGCCCCAAAACAAGTAGATCGTAAAGGCGACTAATTGGGGGTGGGGTTCTTTAAAAGTGGAGTACATCTGCCTGAGAGGCGAGGCACCAAGAGTGCATACAAATCAGCCATATGTGTGAAACCAATACTTTAAGCCAGAGTTTACAAGCGGTGAACGCTTAAAAGATGTTACTCCTTAAACATATTTCAGAAACAGGCTATTCAACTGGCGGCACGCCGGCCAAATGTGACCCGCGGACGCTTAGCAAGTGACCCGCGGATGGCTGCCAGCTGTACTGTGTTGATGATTTTCAATGATGGCGCTCGGGCCTATGGTCCCTGACGATCACCCTTTCTTTGAAAATTGTGGCCCCTGGGTAAACTTTGTTGAAACGCCCTGAGTACGCGTGCATGTTGTGTATGAGTGTGTGTGTAAGTGTAAGAGTAAAAGGTTTATTGCTGAGAGAATCGAATTTGGTTCCACTTGCCGTTAGCGTCGCACAAACCGAGTAGCTCCAGTAACTAACAAACAAAAAAAGAGAACACGCAAACACCTACTCACACACACACACACACACACACACACACACACACACATACATAAACAGCAGGTGGCTAGCAACTCTGCATAGAAAGAGCGCAATATGTAATTGCAATTCGGTGGAATCAAACTTATTATCTTAGCAATAAACCCTTCACACACACACACACACACACTCATCGTCACGCAGCAGGACCTTTGCAGAACGTCGCTCTCTCACGGTCTGCCTGAAAGAAACTCGATCTCTTTCACACATACACACTCACAAACAGTTTTTAAAAAAGGGACTACAAAGTGTCTGAAAAGTTACTGGTACTTACCATAAAGTTTCTATTATAGTAATTCTGAAGGAAAAAATATAACTAAAAAGGGTCGAGAATAACGTACCGAGAGAAAGCCAAAGCCTCACATATATCGGGGAGAAAAAGCGGTTAGGGGGATTGTAGGCGTATCCTGCGTGGCGAAGTGGTCCAGCCCACGACCGGCTCCAGCTGACGATCTGTGCTGCTTGTGTTGGGCTAACGATGCGTTAACGCACTGGCTCATAAACTGGTGCTGAGGCACCCTGGGGTGCCGTAAGCGTATGCCAGGGGTGCCTTGGCAATAATTAAGAAAAGTCGGCTAAAAATTGTGAAATTAATAAAGAAGGCATGTAGATACTTAAAAGTTAACATTTAAGCTGTCTTCCCTGGCTACTGTCAAAGATAGTTTATTTCTTGTTTGAGAACCGCTGCGTTAAGGCATCGTTAGCCCGACCCGGTGACGCCAGCAGCACGGCCTGTCAGCTGTCCAGCCTTTGATTGGCTCTCAGAAGGTCGTGTGTTTGTTTCATGGAATGTGTCGTTCAGCAGTTCTTCCTCTTCTTCTTCTCCTCTTCCTCCTCCTCCTCCACCCAGGAGAACTTGAATTTTGCATGTACACCCGATCTACTTATGTGGCCTATTTGTATGCAGACTGTGTGTTCCTTGTCTCTATGGCAAATGCACTCTGATTCGAAGGAAACATTATTATTCGCTTTTTACGACATGTTTTTAGGAGCAGTGAGGCTACTTCCCCCCCCCCCCCCCCCAAGGATCCATAACAAACAAGTAATGTCGTTTGGTTCACAGGCGCAGTTTTCAAGGAGATCTTTTGGAGGTCGTTGCTGGGACTACGGAGTAAGTGCTTTGTTTGACACTCTCGGCAGGGAAAAGAGCCACTTTCCAGCGTGAGACTGAGCCATATAACTAATACCTGGTGCAATAAAGTCAAATCTCTTGCTTAACACGCAATGACCCAAATTAATTTTTTTAAACCCACCCCATCACACGCAGACCACCGCAAGACCCATGGCACTTAATAATCACACTCGCCATCGCCATGGGTTGAAAGTCCCGTGACACATAGCGCAAAATATTACTATCGTCTGGATAGACGGAAAGGTGCCAATCATTTAATCTACCATTTTTGTTTAGACGTTATTTCTTTCACTTATTTCCTGCAAACGCTTGTAAATTCAGGAGCATGTTTCTGCCGATACGGCGTTTCTCGCGAAAACATTTCTTACTTTTATTACACGAGGAAAGGTCAACTTTGATAATTATGAATACATTTCAGACCTAAAAACTGCAGCATTGGCCCGTCAAAAAAGTAATTGTAAATGGATTGTAATGTGTCTGTTGCGGCCCGCACGCCTCTTTCTACTCTCCCCTAAACAATTATTAGAGTGGTGAGAGGCCCACCCCCATTTATTCTTTGAATCAGCGCCTCTGTAAACCATTTTCTTATCACACGGTACCAAGGTACCATCTTCCCGAGAAATTGTGTCGTAGATCTCTCCATCTCCTTCTCCTCTCCGCATTCTCCTTCTTATCATT